CAAACCCCCCTCCGATCATTTAATTTTGATTGCCACAGCCATGTGTTGCACCCACACTTGAACGCCATGTTCGCTCCCTGTGGTTGGCTGGGCTCCTTTCCCCCAGACCCCGTCGCATCCCGTGGCATCCCATCTCCGAGCAGCAGTTGGAGGCGCAGGAGTGGTTGAACCGCGCGAGCTGCGGGCAGAGGACCCGCTCGCTGAAATTCGTCTGGAAGCAGTTGGTCGCCAGAATCCCCTCCAGCCCCTGAGGAAAAAGCCGAGCGGAGCGGTGAGCGAGCGAAGCACTGTGGGTGGCTCCTCCTTTTTTGGAGTTGCTACCCTTTGTGGGCCTAAATTGAAAGGAACACCAAGCCCTACTCGGCAACGCGAAGGGAAAAAAAACGCGGAAACGCGGAAACGCGAGCGGCGAGCGCCTGGGTCCGTCTTTGGAGTTGGCCTCTGTGGCTTTTGGGAGCCGTCCACCAAAAAAAGGCACACTCTACTGGCTCGAAGCACTTGTTTCTAAAGATTGACATTGACCCGAAAGAACCACCCATCAAAAGCAAGGGAATCCATCCGGCCCGTAACTTTCGGCTTGCAACCATTCCCAGCGTTTAAGGCTGGGAATCTTGAGTTTTGAGGGGTCAGGTTGGTCTTTAAAGATTGAACCTTTGAGAAATTCTGAAAGCGCAAGCGAGGGCCACGATTTGTGTACCCAAGCAGCCAAGCTCTTGAGCAAGAGCTTGGCTGACGTCGGAGCTGTGGGACTGTGACACTGCAGCCTGACAGTTGGTTGTCTCACTTGCTGAGTGGATGGACCAAAAAAGTTCAAACTTTATATTTACCACTAAAATGGTCTTCCCCAAAAACAAAAATAAAGTTCATGAACTGAGCAAGTGAGTTGTGGGTCTCCAGCCACCGAAGAAAGCTTCGAATCTCGGCAACGCAGGTGTTCAACACACAAGCAGCCTGGTGGGGCGGATTCGGATTCTCACAATCGCAAGACTTTGCCATTGCCCCTTTTTTTTGCCATTTGCAAGTTGCCATTGCAGCCCTCCCTGACAGGTGTGTTGTGTCGCGGCGTTTGAGAAAACGATTTTCGCCAAGCCGCAAAACCTACCACCCAAAACATAGAACCTGCACAGGGGCTCCTGGAAGATCATGTTCCTTTTAAAGGGACCGGTTCCTGTGCCGGTTCGATGCTTGTTTTCCTGGAGGAAGCATTTGAACGGGCGTCCGCACTGGCAAAGTTGCAAGAAAGGCGCCGTGCCCGTCCAGTCGCTCAACTGAAAGATGCGCTCCTTCTGCTCATCGCTAAGAGTCCTGAACGCCGAAACAAGCAACGAGCGCATGCGTGGCTGAGGCGCAGTTTCTGAGCACAGGTGACCTTTTGGAAAAGTAGATGGCCCCCGTAAATGGAATAAAACACATTCAAACCAGTGCCACCGCCGCCTATTTCAAACCGAACGAACCTAAAAAGCACAGCTGTGATTCTGAGGTGGACTTCTTGTGAAAGCCTCTTTGTGGTTGAAGCGAAGAAACGTTGAAGCGTTGTTGGTCCATGAGGTGGAATTTGTTTTTAAAGTAATTAGGAAATACGTAAACTTAGGGGGATGAGGCTTGACAGAAAAAAAGAAGAAACAAAACGTTGCTAAGTGCTGGCAGATAGGCGAACCAACCTTTCCACCCTGCAGACCTAGAAAAGTAAGGCCACAAGTCAGCACTCGCTTGGTAAAAGGATAGAACCGCCAGGCACACATCTCAAATCAGCGCCCCTGGTCTCACTGACGATGTCGATCGGAAGGGCCAAAAGTACCCAAACCGTTTCACTAAAATGGCCCTCCCAAAAAGTCGGTAAAGTCCAAGGGAGTGAGTGGTGGCTTGGCCCTGTGCTGGTCCCATCCCAACAAGTGACTACCAGGAACTGAGGGAGTGAGTGACCTAATGTTGACGCCAGATGCATCAACCGCTGTTTATGAATAGGGCTGTCCCTGGGTTTAGCGGGGATTCACCCCATACTAATAAACCGGGGTTGATTAATCTGCGGTCAGCACTAGCCCTGTTCAACTCTGCAGTCCAAAAAGCTTCATCTGCTCCTCAGCTGTCGCGCCCAGGCCCAGCTGCAGCCTCGGGGGGCAAATGCTGGATGTAGGACGTCAACCTACCGTGGATGGTTTCGCGAAATCCGCAAGCAACGCACCACCAAATGGCCATGGGTCCAAATCGTACCCCCAGTGAACATCCCAATCCCCACTAAAATGGGTGGTGCACCCACCCCTTGGTTTTGACCCACAGCCAAATGAAACCAAAGCCTGCACCCTTGAAGCCATGGCTGAAACCATTTGTTGGTGGTGTTTACAGGAGGAATCGAATCATTCTAAGGTAAGAAACCAGGCTGAAACTATTTGTGTTGGTATTTACAGGGGAATCGAATCATTCCAGGGGTTCTTAGGTGATGAGAAATGGATTGCACCCATCCACAATATGAGTATGAACGTTTATTGGTCCCAGACCATTTGATTTAATGAACATCAGAATGCGGCGGGTCCCAACTCATGTCCATTTGGAGGCTCCAACTCTTAACAAACCATACCTGGACCCTCAAACTACCCATACAAAAGGGAATTTACACCATCATTGTGGGGCAATCACGCATGCTCAAGTTGGAATTGTAAGGCTTTAGGTAGCCAAATGTTGTAGCTTGTGTCGGTCAACATACCATCTGCCAAGATGTGTGTGTGTGTGTGTGTCTTGAAAAGGGCTCTTTCCTTGAGGTGTCCCTTTGCAACAACAAATTCGAAGGGCACCCTCAAAAGGAGATAAGCCACCCGTCACCCATGTGTCGTACTGAAAAAGCAGGGCAGCCAAACACTATGCAGAGAGCACCGATCAAAACTATGCACCTGGACCCGACAGAACTACCCGAAAAAAAGGGGGAGTTCGCCCATAATTTTGAGGTAAGGACCCATTTCCAGGCCCCAAAAAAGCGAAACGGGTGTCTTTTCTCAGGACTTTCGGACCCCCAAACGGGCGCAACGGTTCTCCTTTTTGGTTTCCCTTGAAAGCAACCACCAAACTTTGGGCCCCTCCAACAGAAAACCACCCAAGTCAACCCCGGCCCGTGTTTTCCCTGGCCCAACCCTTGCTTTCCCTTCAAAAAATCACCAAACACGGGTACTCCCTCCCCCCCCAAAAAAAAACAACAACAACAACAACCACCAAGCGCCATGTTTTCCCTCACCCCACCCCGCCGCACCCGTCTCCAGCCCCTCCCGTCCCCCTCCCCCCCCCCGCTCGGCCGCGGCGCAACGGGACCTCCTCCGCCACTAGGTCGCCGCAGGCGAAGTCCGCGCACGCCACGGCGCCGAAGCCTGGCGAAGTGCGGGTCAAAAATGGGCTGCTGCCAACCTGGCTAGGTCCTCCAGTAGAGAGGCTAGAATAAGGGTACCAACTTTCTTCTGAGCTCTATTTTAGCAGGGGAACCCTCTCGACCCATCAAAGAGGGGAGAAGGGCACCTATCTGGGGGACCCAACCTCGTAAATGGAAGCATGAACTCAATGCTGGTTGCTCATTTTGGACCCACACCCAGGTGCCCCGCGGTTCTTGCTAAGATGCCCAGACTCGGTTGCCAAACTTCATGTTTGCACTTCAAAACAGTCCAAACCCAAACAGCGGCTCAAGTCCCAAAGCGGAACTCAGAGAAGTCTCGGTTGCTTTCTGCGAAGCCCTGCTAAAAGTGAATAACCTTTCGTGGTTGAATTCGGAAAACCCATGAGTGGCTTAAAAAGTGAAAGTTCTAACATCCCTTGGCAAAATGCACCCCTGCAGAGATGATCTGAACCTTACTGACCATGCTGTGGATGGCTGCGAAGTCCTTTTGGCAGCTAAGACATCCTGGAATGCTCCTCTGTGAATTGACATGGAACCTAGACTTGGAACCTCCAAAGTGATAAATCTTACTGGCCGTAGCTGTCCCATTGAATAGATGGCACTGGTAAATGAGCAGAAGCGAGAACCTGTTTAGACTGTGGTTGCGAAATCCGCGAGTCTCGCGCCGCCAGAAGCCCAACGGAATGAATCGAATCCCAATTAGATACCGAGCAACAATGGGAAAACCATTGTCTCAAGGTAAGACAATGCCCAGACAAATAGGGCAATATGTCAAGGTGAGATCGATTCCCTTTAATCAAAACCAACAGAGGACAACTAAAACATGCCTGGACCCTCAAACTACCCATAAAAAGTTGGACTTCACCAACCGAAATTTTGGGTTGCCATGACCAAGTTAGAATTTTGAGGGTCCCAGGTATTCCTATACGCAAATCTCACTTCCCGAGTTGATGGGCCACCAAAAAGCACCCAAACTCCTTGTTTGCACTTCAAAACAGTCCAAACCCAAACAGCGGCTCAAGTCCCAAAGCGGAACTCAGAGAAGTCTCGGTTGCTTTCTGCGAAGCCCTGCTAAAAGTGAATAACCTTTCGTGGTTGAATTCGGAAAACCCATGAGTGGCTTAAAAAGTGAAAGTTCTAACATCCCTTGGCAAAATGCACCCCTGCAGAGATGATCTGAACCTTACTGACCATGCTGTGGATGGCTGCGAAGTCCTTTTGGCAGCTAAGACATCCTGGAATGCTCCTCTGTGAATTGACATGGAACCTAGACTTGGAACCTCCAAAGTGATAAATCTTACTGGCCGTAGCTGTCCCATTGAATAGATGGCACTGGTAAATGAGCAGAAGCGAGAACCTGTTTAGACTGTGGTTGCGAAATCCGCGAGTCTCGCGCCGCCAGAAGCCCAACGGAATGAATCGAATCCCAATTAGATAGAAGCAACCAAGGGCAAACCATTGTCTCAAGTAAGACATTGCCCATACAAATAGGCAATAATGTCCAGGTGAGAATCGTGTCCCTTTAAATCAAAACCAAAAGAGGAGACAACTAAAACAGCCTTGGACCCTTCAAACTACCCCGTAAAAAGTTGGACTTCAACACAACCGAAATTTTGGTTGCCCATGAACAACCAAAATAATGGCTTTTCCATTAGTATTCCTAATCGCCAAATCCACTTCCCGAGTTGATGGGACCACAAAAAGCACCCAAACTCCTTGTTTGCACTTCAAAACAGTCCAAACCCAAACAGCGGCTCAAGTCCCAAAGCGGAACTCAGAGAAGTCTCGGTTGCTTTCTGCGAAGCCCTGCTAAAAGTGAATAACCTTTCGTGGTTGAATTCGGAAAACCCATGAGTGGCTTAAAAAGTGAAAGTTCTAACATCCCTTGGCAAAATGCACCCCTGCAGAGATGATCTGAACCTTACTGACCATGCTGTGGATGGCTGCGAAGTCCTTTTGGCAGCTAAGACATCCCGGAATGCTCCTCTGTGAATTGACATGGAACCTAGACTTGGAACCTCCAAAGTGATAAATCTTACTGGCCGTAGCTGTCCCATTGAATAGATGGCACTGGTAAATGAGCAGAAGCGAGAACCTGTTTAGACTGTGGTTGCGAAATCCGCGAGTCTCGCGCCGCCAGAAGCCCAACGGAATGATTCGAATCCCAATTAGATACCGAGCAACAATGGGAAAACCATTGTCTCAAGGTAAGACAATGCCCAGACAAATAGGGCAATATGTCAAGGTGAGATCGATTCCCTTTAATCAAAACCAACAGAGGACAACTAAAACATGCCTGGACCCTCAAACTACCCATAGCAAGTTGGACTTCACCAACCGAAACTTTGGGTTGCCATGACCAAGTTAGAATTTTGAGGGTCCCAGGTATTCCTATACGCAAATCTCACTTCCCGAGTTGATGGGCCACCAAAAAGCACCCAAACTCCTTGTTTGCACTTCAAAACAGTCCAAACCCAAACAGCGGCTCAAGTCCCAAAGCGGAACTCGGAGAAGTCTCGGTTGCTTTCTGCGAAGCCCTGCGAAAAGTGAATAACCTTTCGTGGTTGTAATACGGAAAACCCATGAGGGTTTTTTTTTAATGTTGAAGTCCTAACATCCCCTTGGCAACATGCACCCCTGCAGAGATGATCTGAACCTTACTGACCATGCTGTGGATGGCTGCGAAGTCCTAACATCCCCTTGGCAAAATGCGCCGAAGAAGTGGAAGGCCCGGCTATACGGACTTCCTCGGACTCCGCCCCTCCTCGCCACTGCCCGGGCAGCGGCCTCTGCCGGGCAGCGGCGTGACGCGGAAGCGGCCTCAGCGAGAAAAGCGGCGCGGCTCAAATCGGTCGAGCCCAGTTGCATCATGGCTTTGTCTTTTTCTTGAGGATACCCCTGCTTTGGTGGCGTTCAAGGGAAACTAGGAGGCAAAACACAATGGATGGATGGTAGTTGCATGTGGCTCAGTGGTTGGGTTGCTATCGCGATTTCGGGGGTTATGTAAGCCATTTACCGCAGAAGTGGTTGGAAGAGAGCTTGCATATTTACACTAGCCAAGGGACCCACCTTTCAGGAAGTTTGATCCTTGTGTGAAAGGATGGAGATACTATGGACGGTGGTTGCACACGGATGGCTCGTCTTTGTTTTGGAGCCGGTACTCATTCGGAGCTCTCCGTGGATGGTTTCGCGAAATCCGCGAGTCTCGCACCACGGTTTGTGAAACCATGGGAATAAAACCATAACGTTTGTTGGTATTTACGTTGGGGAACCATATAATTCCAGGGTTTCTGAAAGGTGGTGCATCCACAGTAGGTCAAGCCCAGTTGCACATTTAAATGTAAGCAACCACAGGGACTACCTTTCACGGTTGACCCTCTGAAAACTTGGTTGCTGTTGATCCAATGGAAAATCTCCGTTCTGCTTTAACCAAAAAGCTACAGTCCAAAGATCCGCTACCAAACAGCCACAAAGAAAAACGGATGGAGTAGCCATCTAGTTCTTTTCACTTTCCCCCCTGCGAAAAAGATTTTTCACATGAAGTTCACGAAGTCCAAACACTTGGCCATGGGTCAAAACCCAAATCGCACCCCCAGTGAACATCAACCAATCCAACCACTCAACTAGGTTCTAAAATGGGTGAATTCACCTACCCCAACATGGGATCCCAAAACGGTTTTGAACCATGGCCACTTGGGAAATCGGTGCCGGGACCCTCCAGAACTACCGAAGGGACTTCGAAATAAATTCCGTTGCAATCGGTGTTTAAGTTGGAATTTTCCGGGTCAGGGTCTATTTGGACTGTTTGGCTGTGGGAAATGGAATCCACGAATCTGTGATACAAGAAAAAGGGCCCCCAAAGACTACCCCGCCATTTAAAGAGGGGATTCCCTTGTATCACAGAAGTGGGGATAAACCCCTTGATCCCACAACCTTGGTTTGGACTGTGTGGCTGTTGAGCCCGCGTCAGCCCACTTTGATCAAACTGAGCACGCGACATGCTCACCTCCACCCACTCCCGAAACAGAAGTTTCTTGGTCACGGAAAAGGATCACAAGCTGAAATCGCCAGCGCAGAACGGCAGGAACTGCGCTGGCCAGGTTCAGGTCATCCGAAAAGACGAGCCGAAGCTACAGGCGAGAGCCACGACTCTTTCACACAGCGCATTGATGCACCTCATGGCACGAGAATATGTGAGATCGAAATTTGCTTGCTCCTGTCTTTCTCGGCTCCAAGCAAACATAATATGAAAACTCCCATTTGGGCGTCTGTTTTATAGGGCTCAAAATGGTGGGTTGTCCTTTTGTTTCTCTTTCCAGCCACCAACAAGGAGTAAAACCACCCAAACACAGACACACCCATGTCCAGGGCCCTCACAGCGTGTCGACTCACCCAATGAAGGAACAAAAGAACAATTCTGTCTGACCAAGCCGCCGAGCTTCTTCCGCCACAGATCCTGGTCAAGTCCGTAGCCCAATTCAGTGGGGTTCGGGACCAAAATGAAAGATACCTGGAGTCTCCATGACCCTTCAAAAATGGGGTCATTAGAGCCATTTTTAATGGGTCATGGAGACTGCAGGTACATCCAAAAGTGAAATGAATCACAAAAGAAATCCTGCAAATCTGGGAATTGTGATTGCCATGGCCAAGGTATGCAAACATCTATCCCTGGGGCGCCCCCACTTTTGCGTTTGTTAAATTCTGTGCCGGGCTTGAAAGGGGTCAGCAAAAAAGTGTCCCTACAAATGGGGCATAACACCAATGTAAACCAGTGGGACCCCATCTATTTCTACCAAAACTCGCCTTACATTGGCTGTCCTTCCGTAGTAAATGGGGCATAAGTCCCAACCAAACCAGTGGAACCCATCGATTTCTAACCAAACTAAACGATCCCAACACCGATGTCACCACCTTTAACAAGCTGACCACTGCCTGAGTTGCGGCACGAATTGGGCCGCTCGCTGCTCTTCTGGCAGGCCGTGGGAAAACGGTCACATGGGGGTGGCTCGTCTGTGCCCTGTTTGGGGTTGGCTGAAAGGGAAACCAAAAACCGTCGCGCTGAAGAGGTTTGGGGTGGATAGAGCCCTACTCACTCCATCTGCATCAATCAAACGTTGAAGCGATTCGAATTGGAAGCGTCACCCCAGCCTGTTTCTGCACTCGCGGCGGTACCTTCTTCTGCCACGACGTCACCTGGGCACAAACACGGGGGTGTCTCCCCCTTTTGGTTGGTTTTAAAAGGCTACCAAAAGGAAAACCGCCCATTTTCGGGGTTCCCCTATTTAAGACAGACCGATGTCGCCAAACAGCACTTTAGAGAAGAGAAATCAATACTGGCTCAAAGTATCATGAACCCACAAGTGAACCTCCCCTAAAGCATCAACCCACAAAAAATACACATATAGAATGAAAACCACGTCCAACCTTTTTATTCATGGATCACACAAAACAATACATATGATCAAAGCCTCGTCCAACCTTCTTTTTAGCCTACACAAAGCAATACACAGTTACATATATAAAACCTCGCCCAACCTGTGATTCATGGATCATCCACTCTTTTGAACACTCAGTTGTTCAGTGACCCTGGAAAAAAAAAGGGAACCCTTTTTTGGGCTTGGACCATCTTAGTGGGGCAGCCACCAAAAAAAAGTTGGAAAAAGAATTGGAGCCACTGAACAACTGAGAACATGTCTGCGGCTACCATGGACCTCTCCGAGCGGCCGCCGCGGCGATTGCCGCGGCGATTGCTGCGGCGATTGCTGCGGCGGCCGTCGGCTCCAGGCCGGCGGCTTCGGGAGGAAGCGCGCGAAGGCCGAGGCCAGCTGACGGCGAAGGCGACGAGTAGGGTGTGGTTCTCAAAGTTCAACGATCGGGGCAAACTCCGCAGGTGTTGGTTTCCATGTTTCCACTTACCGATCGGGCTTGCCCCAGTTTGGAATTCCGGTTTTTTGAGCCACAGCCATAACACGAAGCCAGGACGTGACAGGGCGCTCTCCGTTTTCTGAAAATGGGTTCCTCAGGTTTCAGGGAGAGTCCGACCTTTTTTTGGGGTAGGACATGGATATGATTCTTAAGGGGCCCTTTGGTGGACATCATTTAGGTGGGGATTCATGTCCTCGAATCACCTTTGGTCACAGGGTGCTCTCCCTTTTCTGATCCCCAGACATGGGTTTGCCGAGGTTTAAAAGGGGCAGTCCGATCTTTTCTTTATGAGTTCGAGGGTTCAACCACCCTGGTGGTTCCCTTTGACTAGTTGCTCTCCGTCTGACAAAGCTGTTTACCAAAACACCAGGGGTGTCACTGACCCTCTACAAATACAATAGCCCGGGCTCACTGTTTTCTGATCTGCTAAAAGTGTTTCACTTGTGGGTTAGATACGGCAACCCAACCGCTACACCAACGAAAAAGCTGAAAGCTAGGGAACCGGATGGCTGGGAGCCACCAAGATGAAACAGGCGCCCTGGAGTCATGACTCCAAGGTTCTGACCCCTCTCTTTTGGGCAACCTGTAAAAATGGAAACATGAACACTCCAGAGTTGCCCAAAAAGAGAGGGGCAACTTTGGGTAAGAACCTGTAACATGGGGTCCTTACCCTGTTAAACTGGGTCTATTTTGGGGAATGACCCCATTGATTAGATTAGAGGGTCATTGGAGACTCCAGCTCGGTGAAGCCAGTCTTCCAAAAGTTGCTCTTTGCTAGGAACCGGCCGGCCAGCTGTTTTGCGTCCTGGGGCCTGTTTTGCACACGGGTCGAGATTTAATTTGGGATTTGTTTTTTTGTTTTATTTTTGGATTTTTTTTGTTTTCCGTCCTGTACGTATTTTACGCTAGTCCGTCAACATCATCAGCATCGTTTTCAACATCCCCCGCATGTCCAGCCAACATCCCCAGCATCACCAGCAAATTGGCTTCCCGCATCTCATGGTAAAAGTGAGGATTCAAATACGGGCAAACTAATCCCTGTAAAACACCTAAAACGTGGCGGCAGCCCCCCCATGATGATTGAAAAAGTGACGACGGCAGCCCCCCCCATGATGATTGAAAAAGTCTAAAAAATTGCGGGGGGGTTGGGGGCAGGCGGCAGCCCCCCCCATGATGATCGAAAAATTAAGGGCAAAGAATCTAAAAAGGATCGGTCGCATGATGATCGAAAAAGTGATGATTCAATTCGGGGCAAAAAGTCCAACAAATAGCGGGGGGCGGCAGCCCCCCCATGATGATTGAAGAAGTGATGATTCAAAAAGGGACAATAAATATTAAAAAAGCAGCCGCGGGTCATCAGTTCCTCTGCGGCAAGGCCTCATGGTACAAGTGAGGATTCAAACACGGGCAAACTAATCCCTGTAAAACACCTAAAACGTAGCGGGGGGGGGGGGGGGGGGGGGGGGGGGGGGGGGGGGGTGGTGGGGGGGGGGGGAGGGGGCAATTCCCTCCATGATGATTGAAAAAGTGATGATTCAATTAAAGGCGCGGGGGGGTTGGGGGGGGGGGCGGCAGCCCCCCCATGATGATCGAAAAAGTGATGATTCAATCAGGGGCAAAAAGTCTAAAAAATTGCGGGGATCGACAAATTAAGGGCAAAGAATCTAAAAAGGAGCGGTCGCATGATGATCGAAAAAGTGATGATTCAATTAGGGGCAAAAAGTCCAACAAATAGCGGGGGCGGCAGCCCCCCCATGATGATTGAAGAAGTGATGATTCAAAAAGGGCCAAATATATTTAAAAAAAGCAGCCGGGGGTCATCAGTTCCTCTGCGGCAAGGCCTCATGGTACAAGTGAGGATTCAAACACGGGCAAACTAATCCCTGTAAAACACTTAAAACGTAGCGGGGGGGGGGGGCGGCAATTCCCTCCATGATGATTGAACAAGTGATGATTCAATTAAAGGCGCGGGGGGTTGGGGGGGGCGGCAGCCCCCCCCATGATGATCGAACAAGTCATGATTCAATGAGGGGCAAAAAGTCTAAAAAAATGCGGGGGGGTTGGTCATCAGTTCCTCTGCGGCAAGGCCTCATGGTACAAGTGAGGATTCAAATGCGGGCAAACTAATCCCTGTAAAACGGCAGCCACCCCCCCCCATGATGATCGAAAAAATAGGGGCAAAGAATCTAAAAAGTAGCTGTCGCATGATGATCGAAAAAGTGATGATTCAATTAGGCGTGCATTTTAATCGAAAGGGGGGTGGCGGGGGGCCCAGAGAGGAACTTGCGATGCTGATGATGCAGGAAGCCAAGGCCAAAAACCAACTGGGAAAGCATCAGGATGCGAAAAGCCAAAGCCAGAAAGCCGCCAAAAGCCAAAAAGCCAAAAAGCCAAAAAGCCTGCCGCAGCGGAACTGGCAATGCAGAGGATGCGAAAAGAGAGGAACTGTGAATGCAGATGATGCGAAATGAAAAGCCACAAAAGCCACTAAAAGCCACAAAAGCCAAAAAGCCGAAAAGCCACCGACCCTGAAAAACAAAAATAATTCCTAAAAAAAAACGAAAAAAAATCCTAAAAAAAATGGCCCTCCTTTGCACACCTTCCTTGAGATGTACATTTTCAGGGACCGCCAAAAGGCGTGCTTTTCACCGAAACAATCCCAACGGAGGCCTCATCCCGCGCTTCCATTCCTCGCGGTTTTCGACTTCGCCCCGCGCCGCGCCTGTCCTCGGCGCCGTTCCTCTTGCGTCCCGCGCGGTCCGAGTTCCCAGCCGCGCGAGGGGCGGATTCGCCACCAACGCCATGGCGCTTCAGTCGGGCTCCGCCAAGACTTGGCGAACCGAACTTCATACCAGGGGGTCCTTCTACCCCTTGTTTGGGGTTAAAATGCCTAGATGATATCACTAAAATCACTAAAATCTGCCTAAATAATATCACTTCAGCCGCCGGACTAATACTTCACGGACTGATGAGCGCATTTCGTAACATGACTGTCAAGTTGTCATGATGGTGCTTCTACAAATAGGAATCGGACCCTCTGTTCTGGGTTGCTGTAAAGGGAAACCGCCATACCACACATGTCGAGGGGGCCCTATTTTGAGAAACACCCAATGAACCCTCAGTTGCCCTTGGTGTCCTTCTGGAAAGATGGATGGGTTCCCTGGTAGAGGACCGAAACAGGACCAAGAATCGCCATCTATTTTGTATCAACCAAAAAGGATACCTGTGCTCAGTGGACTTTGTACATAATCCTTGAACTGGTACCCATTCAGATCTATCGATGTCTCAAAGGCTAACATGTGACTTGTCTTACATTGGATTCCGTTCTCACACGGAACCAAAAGCGATGAAACATGCTGAAATCCTCGACATGTCTGGTGTCTGCTGGAACTCTTTCTCTTTTTGACCTCCATTTCAGAGACGAATCCACCTAAACCCATTAAACATGGGTGATTGCCCCAAAATTATGAGGTAAATTCCATTTTGTTGGGCAGTTTGATTGTGAGGGCACCAACATTGGCCTCCTTGGTGAATTCAAATCATTCAGCCGGAAGTGACAAACCCTGAAACATATTGAAGTCCACTAAACTGAGCTGCCCTCAGATCCCCTGCTAAAAGTCTAACTTTTAGTGGGCTAAATGGAAACCCCAACTAAACGCTAAAAGGCTAATAAAGGCTAAGGAACCGGATGGCTGGGAGCCACCAAGTAAAGTTCGCCCAGTTTGCCTGTAGCTCCCGCACGTCTTAGTTTTTGTCGCCGGCCTAGGAGCGAAGCTTTTTCCCCCAGAAACCCATGACTTTGGAAGAAGCGAGACAGCATCCAAGACCTGGGCGCTCTTTTGCTGGTTGCTGCGCAGGGATCTTTACATTATACACCTGAACATTGCAACTTGTCTATTTGGCGGGTTCCAACTTCATTTTGGTGTTGAAAAAGCAACATGTATCTCAAATGGAATGGCAAACTGGAGATCTTTTAAGGAGCCCTGCTATGTTTGCTTCCTTTCGGTTGCCTCCGCGGCGGTCTCATTGTGCTGTCTCATGCACGGCAAAACGTATCGTTTAAGGAGCCCACTTGCGGTTGCCAGCTTTTGTTTCGTAGTGTCTTCAAGCCTCCGGGTTCAGCCGCGCAGTTTGCGAGCACAAGCTTCCAGTCAAAGCACTCCCTGCCCAGTGGGTCTTTTGTTCTAGTCGCATCTAATACACAAGAAAAAACAACAATTAGAACAGGAGATGTAGTTGGTAAAAGTCATATAATGCATTTGCTTTTATTCACAATTCAGCTCTATAGCCAATGCATTTGTTTCATTAAACATTCAGAGGAAAAAAATTCAATTGCAGGAATTGAAGGTCCTGCATATTCAGGTCCTTCAGTAGAGGTTAGAATAAGGGTACCATTCTTTTCCGGAGTCTGTTTTAGTAGGGGAACCCTCCCAACCAAAAAAGGGGAGAGAAGGGCACTACTGGGGGACCTATAGTATAATATCTTGGGGCAGGTGATCCATTTGGATGCCTGGCTCTGCAGCCCCGTGTGACAAACTCACACCCCACAAAAACAGATCCAGAGCTCAAATCCCCTGCGGAAAACCCACCAAAATGGTGGTTTTCCGTTTGCTATTCCTCTAACACCAGAAAAATGGGGGGGGGGAGTACCCTCAAAGAAAGACAGACCCACTTGGATTCTCAGCACCTTGGGTTGGCCCACGCTCTTCAATTCACAACCCTGATTCCGACCAATTCTGTGCTCCCTCAGCCCCTCCTCGAGCTGAGTGATCAGCCGCTGCCTGAGCTGGTTCCATAGCGGGGATGAGTTCAAAAAGCCGAGCAAGGCTTGGGGCCTTCCCTTCAGAGTCGCTTGCAAGGGCGCCAGCAGCTTGGTTTTTGTTCTTAAAACAAAAAAGAGAAAAACAAAAAAGAGGAGAAATAACAGCAGTTTTTTTAAGAAATAAAAAATAATAGGGGAAGCCGGAAGCCAACAAAAAAACACGAATGTTGCCGCCTGGTCACGGGGCTCCAAAAACATGGCGGCGTATTGCTTTCTTATAAGCCACTTCAGGAAAAAAAATAAGGCGTCGATTCCTCGTTGATTGCAGCACCGCACAGCCAAAAGGTCAGCTGGTTGAACTTCAAACCCAAGACATGCCTTGGCAAACGCTCGAACTGAATACCGTGGGATTCGGCGTAAGGCGACTGAGGAAGCTTCGTCTTCGCTTATTCTAACCCAGGCAACTACTCTTGGCTGGAATTAGGACCCCAGCAAAAAAATATCTTTTTTGCTGAGTAGTGGAAAACAAAATGAACCCCAAAAAAGCAAAAAAGGAAAAAGGGGAACTAATTCTGGGGAAGTATTCTCCTTTGGGCTTTAGGGTGGCGCTTGCCCTTGCTTACCGAAGGCCACGGATCCACTGGAAGGAGGCAAGAGCTGAACTGTATCATGACTTTGAGAAACTGGCCATGGCTTCACGATACCTGACTAGATGTCCGCCCAAACCCTCAAAGTTTTTCGCGATCGCTGTTCTATCCTATACAAAAGGCAGGTGCTTGCACTGTGCCAAGCGAAGTAGAAAAGGCAAATCAAGATCGGCAACTGCCCGAACTTCTCAAGGTTTTTGAGGGTACCCCGCTGTTGGTGCTTTTTTTTCCAAGAAAAGCCAAAAGGAAAACCAGCATTTTGGGAGGTCCAAGCTTTAAAAAAAGGACACGCCCGCGTAGCTGGAACTTCTGGTTCATCGCTTGCCTACCCCCCACACCTTCGGCCATCAAGCGCGGCCTTTAGTTCTTGGCAATGGATGGGTTAGCTTTCTCTCTGCCCCAAAACGGGACCAGCAGGGGGGTCTTTTTGCCACCTTTGGTGGAACAATGATCATAATGATCGACCCCCTTGTAGTGAAGGATTCCTTTTGAGGGGGGTCGCCCATTTTCGCACAACAGGTGGCCAAACAGCCCCCCCTAAAAACCAGGACATACTGGATCACCTTTTGCGACCTGGACGAACTATGGTAGCCCAAAAGGAAAACTAACATGTCACTTCAGGCCGATTCGCTTTGGGAACTGAGTCAATGCTCCACTCTCACCCCTTTCGAAGAAACCGACCCGTTTCCCTGGGATGACCTGGAGGTTCAGAAGGATCCCTGAGAATTCTGAGGCTATGGCTACCCATAAACCGTTGGACAAGTTCGCCCATGGAATAAAACCAGGCGAAAGCAGTGGAAGCCATCTGTTTCTATCCAAACTCGCCTGAAGACACCTATCGTATTTGTTACAATAATTCCAATGCCTGAAAACTAGGGATCCCTAAAGGATCTGTACCATGGTGAGCTTGTTTTTCCCCCGGGTGAACTTGCCGTAAATTTAATTTGCAGACCTATGCGGCTACCGTGTCGAGCTACCGGTTTTTTCATTTTCTGGGCCCCCAAGCGTCTCTGCTAGGTTCCTGTGCAGGGTGCAGAGCTGGCGCCGCATCCACCACACCTGCAAGCTGTCAAGGGTAACCTAGGTCCTCCAGTAGAGAGGTTAGAATAGGGGTACCCCACTTTTTTCTATTTTGTCTATTTTAGTAGGGGAGCCCTCCCAACCAAAGAAGGGGTGAGAGAAGGGCACTACTGGGATACCTAGAGAACCCCTGGATTGATCTTCAGAGATGGGGGGATGTCCCCTGTCAGTGGTGAGCTGGTAACCCCGAAAGCAGAACCCCTGGGTGATTTTCAGAGATGGGGCTGTCCCCTGTCAGTGGTGAACCCGGATGATTTTCAGAGATTCGGGGATGTCCCATTCCTTTTATTGGAGAGACCACTGTAGCGGGGATTCAGGCCACTTTTGGAGGGAACACCCAAAAGTAGGACGGGTTTATCTATGCAGGGTGCGTGATCGCCCTGGTATTTGAAATCGATTCGGCGTCTCCCCTGCATGTCCTTTCCAAACATATCCTAGACCAATAATTAGACCGATCGCATCTTTCTGCGGCCTCAACGGACTATGCGTTTTTTCCGACCCTCTCAGTGCGGCATCAGCAAACATCAGGCTCGGGATGACATTGACGGGAACAACTCGCGTCCTAATGCACTGTTTGCCAATTTTCAGCATTTGGCTGGCGGCTTCCTTGCATGTTAAAAAGCCCCACTGCCAAGCCAAGTCCTAACTGGAAAACTGGAAAGCAGAGACCCAATCCGTTTGTCATCCCACATGGCTGTGGGTCAAAACCAATGGTACCATTTTGGGGTAGGCGCACCCATTTTAGAACCTGTTTTCGTGTTTGGATTGGCATGTTCACTGTACGGGACTTGGATTTTGACCCATGGCCGCATGTTCTCGAACGGTCCCGAAAGCCTCACGGTGGTCAATCTTGGGCCGCCGATTTAGACCAGGATCCGGTTTCTCCTTGGGAGACCCCGAAGGGCGACATCTGGCTGTGGCGAAGTCAAAAAAAAACGGAAATTCCAACCTGGGGCATGCCCGAGCGGTAAGTGGGAAACATGGAAACCCAAAACCTGCGGAGTTTGCGGCTCCGGTCGTTTAAAATTTTGATTCCCGCACCCGTTTCCCCGCACCCCGAAACACACCAACTCAGCACCCGCCATCGCCTCGTCTTCCGAGGTGAGGTTCCGCACTGCCTGATACCTGCGCGGCTCCGAGGGAAGGCATGAGCGTCCCAGCAAGCGAGACATCCGACCTAGATAGCCAAGTTGCGATCGCTTTTTTCAGCTGTTGCGATCGGTTTTGGGGGTAAAGTCCATGGAAAAAAGCGATCGCAACTGGCGGTCCAGGTAACTCTTCAGGTCAATCCGGGACCTCCTCACGGCCAAGTTCG